ACCCCTTGCAGGCCAGGCGTTTCCCAAATGCTTCCCTCAATGGCCCGCTGCTTCCGACCCGCGGGGGTTAACCCTGCCCCGGGGGGGGAGCCCCACTGCCCCATCCCGGCCGGGGGCATCCCGGGGGTCCCCAGTCCCCAGGGTGGAGGGGGGGGCAGGAGGAGGAAAGGGCCTGGATGAAACCTTTCCATCTAGGTCACCTATTGCTGCTTCTTCATGGCAGTTGGGAAAAAGTGGGGTCCTGTCATTACTGTGCTGCGGACAGACCCTCCGTCTGGTCCCAGAGGCACCCAGGCTCCTTCCTCCTGAGCAGGACATGCAGAGCATCGTATCCCGATCCACCGTCCTCTGAGCCTTTTTCTCCTCTTCTCCTTCTCCCCAGGAGCAAGCCAGGTAGGAGGAATAAAACACCCCAAGTAGCTGAACAGTGTCATCCTCTGCCAGGGTTGACAGTGGATTTATCTGTGGATGGCAAGGCTTTGGATCAAAACAGGAGCCTGTTGGCCGTAAGGAAAGTACTCATGAAAAACCTCTTTGCTGGGGAGGATACGAGTGAAGTGTTCCCAAACCCTCGAGCCCCTTCCACCTCTGCATCAACAGAAAGTGCAGGTACGTGCTCAGTCCCCGAGTGCTCTGCTTTGGGTCCCACCTTGAGAGGGGAGGCTGCTTTCCCTCTCCCCCCATCGGCACCAGTCCGTTGTCCATCTGCCTTCTTCCGAGAAGGGCAGGAAGGAGCCCGGTCCCTTTGGGGGTGCCTCATCCAGCTGCAAAGGTCAGGGAGGAGGGAGCAGAAGGCTTTTCTGTCAGAAATTCCCATTTCCAACCGCTTCTTCCCTCCTTTTGGGGTCTGGGCAGAGGGAAGCGGGGCCTGACCAGTGCCGGGAGCCCGGGGCAGAGGGAGCGGGGACTGGAGGCAGGAGGAGGGAGTTGTCCTGGACAAACTCCAGGGCAGAGGCGAGAGGGGCCTTGGGCCCACTTGGAAACCGCCTCAGGGAAGGGGAGAGGCCTTTCCCCATGCAGGCGACGCCTGCGCTCCGGGACCTCCGTCTCCAGCCTCACAGGGCTCGTGTTTGTCCTCTGGAGTGAAGCCTCCTTCTGCGGCCCCCTTGTTCAAAGGCCTCAAAACCAGTTGTTCCCCAGCAGCCCTGTTTTCTCCTATATTGGATGAGCAAGCCAGGGCCAGCCCTTTCTTCTTCCTTTCCCTTCCACTGGCATGCGGATCCCAGCATCGCCCCATCCCCGCTATCCGTCGCGAGCGGGGACGCTGCGCCCATGGCCCGCTCCTGTTTGTAAGCCGCTCTTGCTCGCGCTGCGAGGTTGCGGCTTTAGGGGTTTGCGTGGCTGTGGTAAAATCCACAGCTCAGCCGCGCGGCTCTCGCTCGCTTGGGGAGCAAAGCGTTTGCTCACCCCTGGGAGCAAATCGCAGCCTGCGAGTCTGTGTGTGTCTCATTCTGCACTGAGAGCGTTTACCTCGGGCTTGCAGGGAAGCCTCGCTGCAATGTGCCCGAGCTTCCCTCTGCAGCAAACCAGTTAAGGACCAAAACCAACAGCAAGCCACCGAGGACCCCCCCGTGGCAGGCTGCGGAGTGTCCTCCAGCTCCGTTGGCCATGCTAAGGAAGGGACAAACCCAGCTTTCCACGTGAATACGCTCCGGCCTGATGCCGGGCGTGACGGCGGTACGCGAGCAGGAGCAGCTCTGCTGCAGTCGGTGGAGTGCGGTGGCTTTGGTCCAGGGACCAGACCCAGGCGCTGTGGAGAAAGTGAGTGCTAAAGGCAACTGGGAATTCTTTAAAATAAAAGCCCCGGTACGCTGGGACTGGCCTCTGCGGGGTGGATGGAGCACAGCAGTCCCCTCCCCGGCCGCCAGCTTTTTTTTTCTTTTTTTTTTTTCTTTTTCTTTCTCAAAGTCCTGACTTTCTCACCCCCTCCTTGTTTCAGCTCTGCTTTTCTTTCGCGCTCCCCCTGTGGGGGTCGAGCCAGCGTTTAACTCTTTCGGCCTTGTAGCAATTCGTTGGTGGCTTTGAGACTGCCCAGGTGGGGCATCTCCCCCAGCAGCAGCCCGCAGGAGCTCGCCTGCGTGTTGGGCACGGAGACGCGTGCGTGTGCGTGCGTGCGTGTGCGTGTGTGCAAGGGAGGAAAGCAGCGGAGAAGTTGTCGGTTGTCGCAGCGGGCTGTCGCTGCCCGGTGGAGGTGCCCTCAGACTGCTGCTGGGATGCTGTTCCCTTCGACACGCGGGAAAAGGCATGGAAACGGTCCCCTGATCCCCTGAACAGATTTGAAGGGTAAAATCTGCCAACTGCTCGGTATATTGATTCAAATGCATTATTCCTCCCTGGGCAGATCCCTGCCCTGGGAAAGGAGCAATCAGTGCAGGTGCAAATAGCTTTTAATTGCAAAGTGTATCTCACCACGGAGGCATTTAGGCTGGATATGATGCAAGTGATAGAGCAGCAGCCTGAAGAAGAGCAATAAGCCGGAGCGCTGCAGGGGCCAAACTACTCCTATGCGATACCTATGGCGTAAATATTCATGTACGGCTGTGTGTCTGTGCTCCTCCGCATATCCCTGAGATATGACACAGTAGGATTATGTGAAGATTCAAATATCTTCTGCAGGGAATGTGAAAACTCGCTCTGTCTGACGGTTCCTATGCGAGACCGCAGCGCACTTTGGCTGTGGCTGCTCCGCGTGTGGACTCGCCTGGAGTCCACGGGCTCGGGCGCGGTTTCTCCTTGCCAGCGAGGTGCTGGCAGCGGGCTCCGTGCCCGCTTCTGAGCCTGAGCGCTCCGCCGCGGGTTCGCTGCTGCCCGTTGCACATACAGTGATGTACAGCTGGCTGGATGAGGGTCCTATGGAGCTGTCGGACTGCCTTAGGGTGCCTATGGAGCTGTATACCGGTGCCTGTCCCGTGTTGTACCTGTGCTGCTTGTTCTCTGGGCCGGCTCCGGGGGTGTCCGGGGGCTCCGCCGCCCTCCGCGGGGCTCCGCGCAGCCCCTGGAGGGGGAGGGGGGGGGGGGGGGGGCCCCTGCCGCCAGCAGCCAGAGGGGACCGCCGAGGGCGAGCGGCAGCGGCCGAGCACTGCCACCTGCGCCCGACGCCATCGCTGTGCGAGCACCGGCCCCGCCTGGGCCTGCCCAGGCAGCAGCGGAGCCGGGGGGGGAGCAGCGG